GGATATACGCTCTATGATCACACACTCATACAGGAGATACATGCCTGGATATACGCTCTATGATCACACACTCATACAGAAGATACATGTCTGGATATACGCTCTATGATCACACACTCATACAGAAAATACATTTCTGGATATACGCTCTATGATCACACACTCATACAGAAGATACATGTCTGGATATACGCTCTATGATCACACACTCATACAGAAAATACATGTCTGGATATACGCTCTATGATCACACACTCATACAGAAGATACATGTCTGGATATACGCTCTATGATCACACACTCATACAGAAGATACATGTCTGGATATACGCTCTATGGTCACACACTCATACAGAAGATACATGTCTGGATATACGCTGTATGATCACACACTCATACAGAAGATACATTTCTGGATATACGCTCCATGATCACACACTCATACAGAAGATACATGCTTAGATATACGCTCTATCATCACACACTCATACAGAAGAAACATGCCTGGATATACGCTCTATGATCACACACTCATACAGAAGATACATGTCTGGATATACGCTCTAGATCACACACTCATACAGAAGATACATGTCTGGATATACGCTCTATGATCACACACTCATACAGAAGATACATTTCTGGATATACGCTCCATGATCACACACTCATACAGAAGATACATGCCTAGATATACGCTCTATCATCACACACTCATACAGAAGAAACATGCATGGATGTACGCTCTATGATCACACACTCATACAGGAAATACATGCCTGGATATACGCTCTATGATCACACACGCATACAGGAGATACATGCCTGGATATACGCTCTATGATCACACACTCATACAGGAGATACATGCCTGGATATACGCTCCATTATCACACACTTATACAGAAGATAAATGCCTTGATCTACGCTCCATGATCACACACTCATACAGAAGATACATGCCTATATACGCTCCATGATCACACACTCATACAGAAGATACATGCCTAGATATACGCTCCATGATCACACACTCATACAGAAGATACATGTCTCGATATACGCTCCATGATCACACACTTATACAGAAGATACATGCCTAGATATACGCTCTATGATCACACACCCATATAGAAGATACATGTCTGGATATACGCTCTATGATCACACACTCATAGAGAAGATAAATGCCTAGATATACGCTGTATGATCACACACTCATACAGAAGATACATGCCTAGATATACGCTCCATGATCACACACTCATACAGAAGATACATGCCTGGATATACGCTCTATGATCACACACTCATACAGAAGATACATGCCTAAATATATGCTCTATGATCACACACTCATACAGAAGATACATGCCTAGATATACGCTCTATGATCACACACTCATACAGAAGATACATGTGTGGATATACGCTCTATGATCACACACTCATACAGAAAATACATGTCTGGATATACGCTCTATGATCACACACTGATACAGAAGATACATGTCTTGATATACGCTCTATGATCACACACTGATACAGAAGATACATGTCTGGATATACGCTCTATGATCACACACTCATACAGAAGATACATTTCTGGATATACGCTCCATGATCACACACTCATACAGAAGATACATGCTTAGATATACGCTGTTTGATCACACACTCATACAGAAGATAAATGACTTGATCTACGCTCCTTGATCACACACTCATACAGAAGATACATGCCTGGATATACGCTCTATGATCACACACTCATACAGAAGATACATGCCTAGATATACGCTCTATGATCACACACTCATACAGAAGATACATTTCTAGATATACGCTCCATGATCACACACTCATACAGCAGATACATGTCTCGATATACGCTCTATGATCACACACTCATACAGAAAATACATGTCTGGATATACGCTCTATGATCACACACTCATACAGAAGATACATGTCTGGATATACGCTCTATGATCACACACTGATACAGAAGATACATGTCTGGATATACGCTCTATGATCACACACTCATACAGAAGATACATTTCTGGATATACGCTCCATGATCACACACTCATACAGAAGATACATGCTTAGATATACGCTGTATGATCACACACTCATACAGAAGATAAATGCCTTGATCTACGCTCCATGATCACACACTTATACAGAAGATAAATGCCTTGATCTACGCTCTATGATCACACACTCATACAGAAGATAAATGCCTTGATCTACGCTCTATGATCACACACTCATACAGAAGATAAATGCCTTGATCTACGCTCCATGATCACACACTCATACAGAAGATACATGCCTGGATCTACGCTCTATGATCACACACTCATACAGGAAATACATGCCTGGATCTACGCTCTATGATCACACACTCATACAGAAGATAAATGCCTTGATCTACGCTCTATGATCACACACTCATACAGAAGATAAATGCCTGGATCTACGCTCTATGATCACACACCCATACAGAAAATAAATGCCTGGATCTACGCTCCATGATCACACACTCATACAGAAGATAAATGCCTGGATATACGCTCTATGATCACACACTTATACAGAAGATAAATGCCTTGATCTACGCTCTATGATCACACACTCATACAGGAGATACATGCCTGGATCTACGCTCTATGATCACACACTCATACAGAAGATAAATGCCTTGATCTACGCTCTATGATCACACACTCATACAGAAGATAAATGCCTGGATCTACGCTCTATGATCACACACCCATACAGAAGATAAATGCCTTGATCTACGCTCTATGATCACACACTCATACAGAAGATAAATGCCTGGATCTACGCTCTATGATCACACACCCATACAGAAAATAAATGCCTGGATCTACGCTCCATGATCACACACTCATACAGAAGATAAATGCCTGGATATACGCTCTATGATCACACACTTATACAGAAGATAAATGCCTTGATCTACGCTCTATGATCACACACTCATACAGGAGATACATGCCTGGATCTACGCTCTATGATCACACACTCATACAGAAGATAAATGCCTTGATCTACGCTCTATGATCACACACTCATACAGAAGATAAATGCCTGGATCTACGCTCTATGATCACACACCCATACAGAAAATAAATGCCTGGATCTACGCTCCATGATCACACACTCATACAGGAGATAAATGCCTGGATCTACGCTCTATGATCACACACTCATACAGAAGATAAATGCCTGGATCTACGCTCCATGATCACACACTCATACAGGAGATAAATGCCTGGATCTACGCTCTATGATCACACACTCATACAGAAGATAAATGCCTGGATCTACGCTCTATGATCACACACTCATACAGGAGATAAATGCCTGGATCTACGCTCTATGATCACACACTCATACAGAAGATAAATGCCTGGATCTACGCTCTGTGATCACACACTCATACAGGAGATAAATGCCTGGATCTACGCTCCATGATCACACACTCATACAGGAGATAAATGCCTGGATCTACGCTCTATGATCAAGACTTCGAACTTACATCGTCATTCAAACACAGTTCTTAGCTGCTGACCACTTTAACTCTATAAATGATGTTATAGTGAATGTTATTTCAGAAAAGCAACTTCCTTTTGAAACTAACGCATCCGTCAGTACATGACGGACATTCGGGAACAACTGAGGATACAGTAACTGGCATGACAAATCTAAGACGTGTGAACTGGCTTCATGTGTTATTTATGTCAACTTTGAGTGACTGAGTGAGTGTGTGAGTTGCGTTAAACGCCGCTTTAAATAGTATTTCAATTATATCATGGCGTGTCAGTTTGATGTGGGAAGAAGTCCCAAAGTGATGCAGGTTTTAAACGTTTACCACCTGGATGAAGATCCGGGGTATAGAATAAGTCTTGAACAACCCATGCTTGCAGTAAAAGGCGACTATGCTTGTCGTAAGAGGCAACAAACGGGATCGGGTGGTCAGGCTCGCTGACTTGGTTGATGCATGTCATCGTATTCCAATTGCGTGGATCGATGTTCATGATGTCAATCACTGGATTGTCTGGTCCAGACTCGATTATCTACAGACCGCCGTCATATAGCTTGAATATTGCTGAGTGTGGCGTTAAACAACAAACAAACAAACAAACAAGCAAACAAACCTGGATGAAACCCACGCCCACGGGTAGGTGCTGACACACCTGGAATGAAAATCAGGTCGCACCTGGTATTCGAACCCACTTCACGACACGCATAAGGGTCCCAAATCCGCACGAGGGAGGAGACTTCATTATTATATCATGACACAGGTCCTTTTGTCATCAAACCATTTACCCTTATCATAATCCACGATTTGGGGTATTTGACGTACTGTGAATAACTGTCGATAGTGAATGTCACAATATCTTACTCAAGGTGTATCATTAATGGCATGCAACTGTTGGCATTTACAATCTTCAATTAACGTTCAGTTTATACAGTACATATGCTGTCGTCAGTTATGGTATTTACCATCACAGGGGCCATTCTTGGACTTAACATTTATACTTTAACAACAGTCGTATTTAACTCGGCCTTTAATGCAAAAAATAATATAGCGTGTTATCTCAACGTATCGTATTTGAAGTACAATAAAAGTAAACAGGCATATGTACTGAAAAAATAAACAAGTAGACTCAGTGTTTGTGTAAGGTTTCACTTCAACGGATGACCAAATGAAAACGTATTTGAATCGATATTGTAAATAATATCCGTCCTGCAATTATAAAACATTATTAAAAACGACACCAAAAAAATAATTAAAATAATGCATTGGACAGAGAAGCGAAAACTATCAGCAACATTCATTTAATGAGCAATAAATGTTCAATTTGAATTGACTATTTTTTGGGGTCCTATTTCTAACCATCCCGCCGTCCAATGATCTACTGTTCCTCCTCATTTACCTTCCTGGCCAGCCGACGGCCGGGGGTTTGGGAATGAATGCCACATGTATTGTGAATTGAGCTAATTGTGACTAAAATGACAATATTAGTTAATCGATATTTATTTTTCAACCTATAAATGTCGCCATGTCGTGCATGCGTTACTCGAATTCAGATCGGACCAAACAGGTAAGTGGAATGCCAAGCGGTAGAACCTGTAGAAGGATCCTTATCGATAATTTTTGCTGAAATGTTTTTTCGTGTCTAATTAGAAATATATCAATAACATATTTATTAATGTCAAGAAATGAAATTATCTTAAATCATGATGTCTTGATCAAAAGATTGCATGTATGTTTACCTGTAGATTCCGGTCCCACAAAAGACAAACTTTAGGAAACACTTCATGGCTCGAACCATGGAGCATTTGTCGCTTAACGTGGTGACCATTGATATGCTTACATCTCGATCTTCACAGTTCAGGACAATTTGACAAACTATAAAGCATATGTTTCCTGAAAACAATAAGTCAAATGCTGGACGACCTCCTAGATAACATCTACACTCGAATCGCGTTGTCTCCAACTCGGATGTCTCGCATCTAATTACAGTATATAATGGTATCACCAGTTGATGCTTAAAGATAGATCCATGTATGCCACGTGTATCTGTTTCTTGTTTTTATTCTATGAATGTTATTTACATTAAATACTCGATGTTGTACTTTTCATTTTGCTGAAAAGATCAAACCAAATGTGTCGAACCCTTGATAAGTCGAATTATTTAACGGTCCCCCAGGAGTTCGACACAACGGGCTTCGACTGTAAGTGAAATTTATGGATAGGATATTTAGGCAAGAAGTAGGTGACCCGTTGGGCAACTATTGTCCCCCCCCCCCCCCCCCCCCCCCCCTCTTGCGAATCTCTCTCTTTGGGCATGTGAATCGCAAATTCCATACCTACCTGAACTAGAAATAAAAGAGAGCTGTGAGAGCGTATCGTCCTCTTCGGTGCGGTCGGGTAGCCTAGTGGTTAAAGCGTTCGCTCGTCACCCCGAAGACCCGGGTTCGATTCCCGACATGGATACACGTGAAGCCGCGATATTGCTTGAATATTGCTAAAAGCGGCGTAAAACCATACTCCCTCACTCTCGTCCTCTTCATATTTGGTTTTATGCATAACGATATTTGGTTTTATGCATAACGATATTTGGTTTTATGCATAACGATATTTGGTTTTATGCATAACGATATTTGGTGTCTACTTTTTGGAAGGCCTGAGTTGCAATCTAGCATGCTTTTGCTATGAAGATTTCAAGGAGAGTCATACGATTCTCGTTCAATACTTGTTGATCACGGTTACAACATTCAATGCCCCAGTAAAGCGAACAAAACGTTTATTGTAGACATATGGAGGACATTTCCAAATTTGACGTATCACTGACCAAAATAATGTGCGATGCAATTCCATATATTGACTTGTACCATATGTTTCTGTGTTTGTTTGTTTGTTTGTTTGTTGTTTAACGCCGCACTCAGCAATATTCCAGCTTTTTGACGGCTGTCTGTAAATAATCGAGTCTGGACATGGGTTGCTGAAGACCTATTCTAACCCGGATCTTCACGGGTCCCGTGCTTGTTGCAGGAAAATAATTGACCTGAATTTGCACCGGTGAGGGCGGTGGGATATGATCACTATGATCACTACCAGATAGTGATTCAAGAACACCTGTTCATGATGCAGTCAATCTGCACAAGACGTACAATCGAGATATTTCTTATGAATAGGGAAAATGTTTTGTCGCTTTTACTAATATCAGCAATTTATATTGTGACAAATACACAAGCCCCTATATTTGTAACGCGTTTAGTAAGAAATTTGTAAGTATCTGAAGCCACATTTGTAGTAAAGACAAGTGCCCGAAAAGCTTGTGAGTGTATAGATGAGATGGGTAGGGGAGAACAGCTTCTCGACTGTATTTCATCATGACCATAAAAAATAGGTATATGCTTATCAACCCCAATGTCTTGCTGTTTACGTGCGTTCTGGTATAACTGAAAATGACCTAGGTCAATAATTTGACGATTGACATTATGTATAACATCCCTAAATTAGTTTAATTAGTCACTATTACTGTTCTAATAATCTCATATTTCTTTTTATATGTAAGAAAATCGAAAGTTTAGTATAATAAAATATATATAGGAAATAATACTCAATAATAAATTATTTATGAAATATTTAAAATAATTTCGGTATATTATAAATGTGTGTGTGTGCGTGTGTCTGGGGTGTGTGTGTGTGTGGGGGGGGGTGTGTGGGTGTGGGTGTGCGTGTGTGTCTGGGGTGTGTGTGTGGGTGGGTGGGTGGGTGGGGTGTGTGTGTGCGTGGGTGTCTGGTGTGTGTGTGTGTGTGTGTGTGTGTGTGTGTGTGTGTGTGTGTGTGTGTGTGTGTGTGTGTGTGTGTGTGTGTGTGTGTGTGTGTGTGTCTGGGGTGTGTGTCTGGGGTGTGTGTGTGTGTGTGCGGGTGTGTGTCTGGGGTGTGTGTGTGTGTGTCTGGTGTGTGTGTGTGTGTGTGTGTGTGTGTGTGTGTGTGTGTGTGATGTGTCTGGGGTGTGTGGGGTGTGTCTGGGGTGTGTGGGGGGGTGGGGGGGTGGGGTGGGCTGAGTGCTTGCGAAGGCCATTGGTGTAACTCAGTAAATAACACTGCGTTATGAAACCAAATACATAATGGCATCTGATATCCAAAACTGTTATGTTGTATTGACTTACTTCAACAGTACCTACGAAACAAATTCAGATTACATGGGTGTGTAAAGATTTTGTACATCTCAAATCTCAACGAGTCATACCGAATTTTCTTTTTCTTTCAGTTTCAAACAACTTAAATAACCAACGATGACGGATAAAGGACTGCAATACACTGAAGACTACACTACAGATTTTGACCCACAATCTTACCTTGAAATCTTTGAAGAACCCAACCCCAACACAACCCGTGGGTTACAAACGTCATTAAACTTGACGGCCTTCCACCACGCTTACGCCTCAGGTAAGACCGCAAGTTTGTGGCCATATGAATTTTCAAATTCGTGTCAGATTATTTCAACAGCGAATAATCCAATGACTGAATAAATTCATTTGTGTTATCCCTGGCGGTTAAGACATGTGTTTGCTCTTAAACTGTGGTGTACTCCTTTACAACCTATTTGTTTCCAGTAACAAATCCGGTTCTAACCTTATTTCTTTTGCCACACTACTCTCCGGGTGTAAATGCTAAAGTTATCGTTCCTTAAGAATACACAACTTAATAGATAACAACTTCAGGTTCATTGTGCAGTAAACTACGGTTATAACAAACACGCTTACAACGAACTAACGGATATAACGAACTAACTTTTTAGTCCCGACTATGTGCTGTTGTTATGCTGTATATATGCTTATAACGAATTACGGTTATAACGAACTAAAATGAGTAGTCCGTTTTAGTTCGTTAAAACCGCTGTATTTAGCGACGTTTCGATGTAGATGTTTACACCGTTATCAAGGTGGAGTGGCTACAACCTAGGGTTATTAGCACGAAGGCGACTTTGTATCGGGTGTCACAACGTAGTACACTAATAGCAGTAGCCTTCCTGCGAATTTCTCCCCTGTCCAGTTGACGAAAACAATCACAGGTGCATGTGTTGTCGCCGTGCGGGTCGTAGGGTACGTAGGGTCGTATCAATTTTGTTCCAGGTGTTATTTAAATCGCGTTGTTTTATTCATTACAGTAATGATATGTTACAAGGAAGATATACAACGCACTAGGTTGGAGTTTGTGGGTGATCTGAAGGAAATTCTCACCGGAGTGTTCCCTGACAAGACTGGTTTGTTTGTTGTTTTACGCCGCACTCAGCAATATTCTAGCTATATGACTGCGGTCTGTAAATAATCGAGTCTGGACCAGACAATCCAGTGATTGACGTCATGTGCATCGATCAACGCAAATGGGATACGATGACATGCATCAACCAAGTCAGCCAGCCTGACCACCCGATCCCGTTAGTCGCCTTTTACGGCAAGCATGGGTTGCTGAAGACCTATTCTACCCCGGATCTTCACGGTACCCCTGACAAGAGACAGGTGTGACTTAGTCTAGTCGATAGGCTGGTCTAACCCGGAATAGGATGTGGAATGTTGGCATCGCTGCTATCTGGTCACTCACCCTATCTGGGAGATGACACTTCTTCATCGTAACAGGGCTGGCATCGGTTTCAGAGATGTAGAAGCCTTCAACGTTAATGACCTTAACGTCTCTTGCACCTGTCATACAACTATAGCAATATGATATTTGTTCCAAACATGTTTTTTTGTGTAATGTTCAATAGCAATATGATATTTATTTTAAAAATGTGTTTTGGTCTAATGTTCTTCTGTATATCAATTACCAATACATTTGATTAAAACAAGTTAAATTAACACCACATATATGTACGTGTATATCAAGTGAACTATACCATGTGTGTAAAATTATAATTACCTTTATATTGACAAGCACAGGTGGATCGGTATAGTGTGATCACTCTTGCGTCAGTTTGTCGTTGGCGGTTCTGGGGGTTCATTTGCAATCTTTGGTAGTGCATCTGAAGCAACCACCTCTTCTGCCTTCTATTATCGAGTCTATACATACAGCCACCATCACACAAATATATCTACCACCTCGGGACGTGGGAAGAAAGTTGTAGTGTGACTGTGCGTTTGCCATCTAAATGTGATGAGGTGGTGAGGTGAAATGGGGTTTAATTTCGCTTCCGAGATTATTGCACTTATATAGCGACGTGCATGCACGTGTGTGTGTGTGTGTGTGTGTGTGTGTGTGTGTGTGTGTGTGTGTGTGTGTGTGTGTGTGTGTGTGTGTGTGTGTGTGTGTGTGTGTGTGTGTGTGTGTGCGTGTGTGTGCGTGTGTGTGTGTGTGTGTGTTTGTGTCGCTGGTACTAGTCCGGACTGATGCCGATTTATAGTGCTAGCTCACTGAGATACCATGCCGCAGTTTAACATGAATACCCCACTTAGCCCCTTAATGCCGAGCGCCAGACAGGGTAACAACAAGAACCATCCTTTAACGTCTTTTGGTATGACGCGGTCGGGGATCGAACCCTAAATGTGATGAACAATATTTTAGTCAATTATATATCTAGCACATGCTTGAATGCCCATTTAGAACGGAATGGTGAGTGCAGTGAATACTGCTGTTGTGTCTTGTGGTGTTAAACATATTGTGTGACTTGTACAGGAAAGTAGAATGTAAAGACGGTTACCTAGTTATACTAGATGAGTGAGTGAGTGAGTTTGGTTTAACGCCGCTTTTAACAGTATTCCAGTTATATCACGGCGTGTCAGCTTAATGTGGGAGGAAAGCCCGAAGTGATGCAGGTCTCAGACGTTTACCACTTCGGTGAAACCCACCGGCACGGGTATGGTGCTGACAAACCTAGAAACATAATCGGGGCGAACCGGGATTCGAACCCACAATCATAGATTTCTGGCATGCCCAAGGGACGCAACTCTGCACAGCGAATCGCGGCGCCTGAGACGACTGGGCCACCCGTGCCCCCTTATACTAGATGAAGTGGATGTGAACAAATGTGTGGGGGACTTTAGATAAGCATAGAGTTAGTGAGTGAGGTTTTACTTATATTCCTTCCATGCCATAGCGATGAACAGCGGGTTTGGTTTGGTTTGGTTTGGTTTGGTTTGGTTTGTTGTTTAACGCCGCATTCAGCAATCATCCAGCTATATGACGGCGGTCTGTAAATAATCGAGTCTGAACCAGAAAAACCAGTGATTAATATCATGAGCATCGATCCACGCAATTGGGATCGATGACATGCATCAACCAAGTCAGCGAGCCTGACTACCCGATCCTGTTAGTCGCCTGTTACTAATATTAATGACAATTATTGGGGGTCGGGGTCCTGAAAATGTTACAGTTATTAATAACAAGCATGGGTTGCTGAAGACCTATTCTACCCCGGATCTTCATGGGTTATGAACAGCATATTGTAACCATGTGAGAAATCGGGCCAAACTCTTTGGCGCAACTAGTGAACGCTCTAGCACTGTGCTGCTAACACAACTTCAAAAACATTCACATCAAGAAGGGCGTGCTTGCAGTATTTTTTTGTAGTGCGAGATGTTATTGAGAAGTAATCAGGACAATATTGTTTTCAGTTATTGAAAATCTATACCTAAATATCTCTTTTGAAGATTTTTTTTACGACAAGCAGATGGTAACAATGTTATATTAAAACATATATAAAACACGGGTACAAAAGTAACCCAGCCGTCCCCTAGGTATGCCAGAAAACTATGAGCATGGGCTCGCTCTGGTAATCTTCCTAGCTTCGACAGTACCATGCAACCACTGTTGGGGTTCACCAAAGTGGCAAACGCCTTAGATCTTCATCTCGTTCATCTCATTAACTCAGACCCGTGAAGATCCGGGGTAGAATAGGTCTTCAGCAACTCATGCTTGCCGTAAAAGGAGACTATGCTTGTCGTAAAAGGCGACTAACGGGATCGGGTGGTCAGGCTCGCTGACTTGATTGATGCATGTCATCGATCCCAATTGCGTGGATCGATGCTCATGATGTTAATCACTGGATTGTGTGGTCCAGACTCGATTCTGTACAGACCGCCATCATATAGCTTGAATATTGCTGAGTGCGGCGTTAAACAACAAACCAACCAGCCAACCAACTATAAACCTCTCTTAAACAGAAATACTGTACAAAGTGGCGCGAAGCCAAACTCACTCTACATAAGATGAGAAAAAGTTGATTGTTGGAAATAATCCGCTCTTTATTTTGACCAGGTTGAAATATGAACTGTATTCACATATCTACCGTTCACTGGTCCATTGCCCTTCACCAATGTAAGGATGTGTTCTTTGCATGTGTTCATGACGGGTGCCACCGACGGGAAGGGTGCGTTCACCTTTTCGCGAACACTTGGTATCTACATTTACCTAATACTCATGATAGCGTCGGAATTGTACAATCGACTCTGCTGTTAGCAGAGATGGAAAGGTGAGGTGAAATTGGGTTTAACGTCGCGTCCAACATTATTGCACTTATATAGCGACGTGCATGCACGTGTGTGTGTGTGTGTGTGTGGCTGCTTGTACTAGAACGGACTGATGCCGATTTATAGTGCTAGCCCACTGAGATACCATGCCGCAGTTTAACATTAATACCCCACTCAGACACAGTATACTGACTCCGAGCCGACCAGTACTTGCTTTAACCCCTTAATGCCGAGCGCCAGACAGGGTAACAACAAGTACCATCTTTTAACGTCTTTTGGTATGACGCGGACCCCGGACCTTCCGCTCTCCGGGCGGACGCTCTACCACTAGACCACGGAGGCGGTCAGAGATGGAAAGGGTTCTGTCGCTTTTACTTCCAACTGGTTAATCAAACTGGTCCATCATTAGACGACGTGTGTAGACATGTACATGCATGAATAGACATGAATATCAACCATCATAATTTGAACCGTATGGGTTGGAATCCCAGTTTGCTCTGATAATGTTTCTTGGTTTGTCAGCTCCATACTCGTGGTCGTTGGATTCAGCAAAGTGGTAAACGACAAAGGCATCTCATCCTCCGGAACCCAGCTGACACACCGCGATATATCTGATATACTGCTAAAAATACATCTTGTTAAATGTAATGTAGTCACGAGCAGTGTAATATGACCTCAGAAATATAGCTTATATATGCTTGTTGTAAGAGGCGACTAACGGGATCGGGTGGTCAGGCTCGTTGACTTGTTCGATGTATGTCATCGTATCCCCATTGTGTTGATCGATGCTCATGATGTCAGTCACTGGAATGTCCGGTCCAGACTCGATTATTTACAGACCGCCGTTATATAGCTGGAATATTGCTGTGTGTGGCGTGAAACAACAAACAAACAAACAAACAAAGAAAGCTCATAGTAATGCTGGACTCGGGGAGAAAAAGGTCCAACTACCTATTCTAATACGTGTGTTATCTCCCTTTGCAGGTATCATCAAAGGGAAGACGCTCTTGGACATCGGCACAGGTCCATCAATACTAAGCCTCATCAGCGCCGCCAAACACTGTGACAACATCTTTCTGTCGGAATTCTGTCCGAGAAACAGGGAACTCCTAAAGCAGTGGCACCATGGGTCTTTGAAATCCCATTTTGAAAAAAGCATTGAATTTGTACTCAAACTTGAAGGGAAAAGGCAAGTCAAGTTTGATTAATATGAAAGCGGATGCATTGATTTCACATGCATGACTCAATTACTAAATCATATTTATGAGGGGGCACGGGTGGCCGAGTCGTCTAAGGCGCCGCGATTCGCTGTGCAGAGTTGCGTCCCTTGGGCTCGCCAGAAACCTATGATTGTGGGTTCGAATCCCGGTTCGCCACGATTATGTTTCTAGGTTTGTCAGCACCATACCCGTCCTCGTGGGTTTCACCGAGGTGGTAAACGTCTGAGACCTGCATCACTTCGGGCTTTCCCCCCACATTAAGCTGACACGCCGTGATATAACTTGAATACTTTTAAAAGCGGCGTTAAACCCAACTCACTCACTCATATTTATGACATTAAAAATAATTATATATATTACAATAACAATATTTTGAAAATTTAGTTCCATGAAACCGTCGGAAGATAATGATAGATTCAATATGGAGGTGAGCTTGAGATATTCAGATGAAACATAGTAAACGCAGAAAATCGTCATAATCAGTTACAGAAGTTACTCGCATGGTAAAGAAGGCTCCATGGTTCTCGTGGCGCAACAGTCTGCAAATGTTGACAGGAGGAATATCAGGCACCGATGTTTTTAATAGGATGTTTGTTGTTAGACATGTTTTACATGTACAGTAGGATCAAGGTGCGATGTAGATTATTGACTGTTTTTTCGAACATAACCTTTCATTATTGATTCCAGGCTAAAGTGTGTTAAAAACTGTGTAAAAGTTGCCGGAGTTCCATTTTTGTGGACGTCTCGGTGGCTGAGCGGGTTAGAGCCAATGACGAGAAGCGAACTTGTAGAGCTGTTTTCCAAAATATGTTTTCCCTTAATAACATCAAAGAAAAAATGACTTGAACCAAGGACTTGATCATTGTCAAATATTACAAATTCATCATTTAATGCTGTTATGCAATAGTTGAAAATGAAATACACTTCCATTCATATGGTGAGGTGGGGTGAGGTGAAATTGGGTTTAACGTTGCGTCCGAGATTATTGCACTTATATTGCGACGTGCATGCACGTGTGTGTGTGTGTGTGTGTGTGTGTGTGTGTGTGTGTGTGGCTGCTTGTACTAGTCCTGACTTATCCCGATTTATAGTGCTAGCCAACTGAGATACCATGCCGCAGTTTAACATGCATACCCCACCCAGACACAGTATACTGACTCCGAGCCGACCAGTCCTTGTTTTAGCCCCTTAATGCCGAGCGCCAGACAGGGTAACAACAAGTACCATCTTTTAACGTCTTTTGGTATGAGGGCTAGCACTATAAATCGGCATTCGTCAAGACTAGTACAAGCAGCCACAAACACACACACACACACACACACACACACAACTGTTAAAAGATGGTACTTGTTCTTACCCTGCTCGGAGTCAGTATACTGTGTCTGGGTGAGGTATTCATGTTAAACTGCGGCATGGTATCTCAGTGAGCTAGCACTATAAATCGGCATCAGTCCGGACTATTACAAGCAGCCACACAAACACACACACGTGCATGCACGTCGCTATATAAGTGCAATAATGTTGGACGCGACGTTAAACCCCATTTCTCCTCACTCCATGCACAGTAAGACACAATTAATCAGGAGAGAATATTCCAAATGACATGTATTGAAACAGGCGTCTCGTTTACCGAACATTGGTACGGAGGAATGTCCGTCTGTATACATACAACAGTGTTCGTTAAGAAGGCGAGATCTGCACACCAAAGAGTCTCACTGGTATTTCTCATCGAATTGCTAGTACATTTGTATTTTGATCATGGTTACAACACCATGGTTACAACATACAAAAAAGTGTTATGGTACACATGTGGAGGACATTTCTCAATGGGACGCATGAGTGATCAGAATGATGTCCGATGCAATTCCATATGTTCACAATATCCCGTGTATATTCTAGAGATCACTTGGTTTGCCTTTGCGTGTGTTTCTGACGACCGCCACCGGTGGCGCAGGATACACTTTCCCTTTCTCGAACATCTGGTTGGTCGGTTTGTTGTTTAACGCCGCACTATTCCAGCTATATGACGGCGGTATGTAAATAATCGAGTCTGGACCGGACAATCCAGTGATTAATATCATGAACATCGATCCACGCAATTGGGATCGATGACATGCATCAACCAAGTCAGCGAGCCTGACCACCCGATACTGTTAGTCGCCTTTGACGACAAGCATGGGCTGCTGAAGACCTATTCTACCCCGGAATCTTCACGGGTCTCGAACAACTGGTATCTCCACTATATTATAATCATGCATAAACACATGCTTATGATATAGGAGGGATCGTACAATGGACTCAGCCTTTAGCTATTGATTTTGGAAAGGTTTTGTAGCTTTTGTTTAAATATGACACTTTTCTTATTAACAGTGACATTGATGTTCCTGAGAGAGCGACAAGCATTAGAGACAAGATTTTGGGGATTCTACACTGTGACATCAGGAACGAGAACCCCTTTTCGCCAAACTTCCTTTCCTCAGTCGACATCATCACATCATCTTTCTGCCTTGAGACAGTTGCGACAGACCTGGCCTCTTATGAAGGATGCGCCAGGAATGTGGTCGGTATGCTGAAACCTGGTGGTTGCCTTGTCATGGTTGGATCTTTGGGAGGAACGTACTACACTGTTGGAGAAAAGACGTTCAGATGTTTTGGGATGTCGATTGATGAATTGAAATCAACATGGCAGAAGGTTGGGATTGAGATAATTTCCTGGTACGCGGTTACACGACCCGAAATCGAGCCTGAGTTTACAGATATTGACGGCTGCTATTGCATGGTTGGGAAAAAGGTTCCAGAAACTTTGTGAAGTTTGCCTCTTCTTTTACATGTACAGTAGGATCAAGAAATATGTATATGTCATGATTAGTGCTTTGTCCATCCCAATGGCTTTAAATTTAAATCTCTGCTTAATTCCTCAGACTGAGTAACCTTGCAACAATTGTCACTGTTTATTTATCATACAATGATGTTTAGAAAAAATTACTCATTCTGAAATTATTTCTACATGTATATCTGTGGCCTCTTCAGTACAGAAATAAAGACTGATGAATTAATGTGACGCTTGGCTAGTTTCAAGGAGCCCTAGGCTCTGGCTTCTTCCCCGCTGTCTGACACTGGCCGCTATGACACATTAGCTGCGGCGAGTTGATTGGCTGGCTAATGCGACTGCGTGTGACAAGAGACTGGGTAACCGTCTGTAAGGACAGCCGAAATAACAATTGTGGCAATATATACACAGTCGACTTCGAAACATCTTGGTCGTGAAGCATTAGTTACACTGCTGATGCTGTACCGTTAAACTCGACACGTGAAGATTCCGGGGTAGAATAGGTCTTCAACAACCCATGCTTGCCGTCAAAGGTTACCATGCTTGTCGTTAGAGGCGACTAACGGGATCGGGTTGTCAGGCTCGCTGACTTGGTTGATGCATGTCATCGATCCCAACTGCGTGGATCGATGCTCATGATATTAATCACTGGATTGCCTGGTCCAGGCTCGATTCTGTACAGACCGCCGACATATAGCTTGAATATTGCTGAGTGCGGCGTTAAACAACAAACCAACAAACCAACAAACCAACCGTTAAACTATTCTCAACAATCGATTCTTCACTTACAACATCAAGCTAATGGTCTCAATATGCATACAACTTAGTCTGACTCTATATAATCACGGGCTCTATATTATCGCGGTATAATACAATCTCGTTATACACAACCCCTGTTGGCTGTTTATAATTACTTATGCAAATCTAAGCACAATATTTCATTGCTAGATCGAATACAGGACTTCCTTCGGAATGTCACGGCTACTCGAAAGTGAACAGATTATCTTTTTGAAGACAGTTTCTGAAATAATTTTTGATTTGGCGTTACCCCTATCTCCACTGAAAATTGGTGAGAAAAAATAAAGAACAGGTCTTCAGCATCCTTGCTTGCCGTAAAAGGAGACTATGCTTGTCGTAAGAGGCGACTAACGGGATCGGGGGGTCAGGCTCGCTGACTTGGTTGATGCATGTCATCGTATCCCAATTGCGTGGATCGATGCTTATGATGTCAATCACTGGATTGTCCTGTCCAGACTCGATTATTTACAGACCGCCGTCATATAGTTATATATATTGCTGAGTGCGCCGTTAACCAACCAACCAACCAACCATGCAACTATCACCATATGCCTAATGGGTTTAACGTCGCGTCCAAGATTATTGCACTTATATAGCGACGTGCATGCACGTGTGTGTGTGTGTGTGGCTGCTTGTACTAGTCCGGACTGATGCCGATTTATAGTGCTAGCTCACTGAGATACCATGCCGCAGTTTAACATGAATACCCCACTCAGACACAGTATACTGACTCCGAGCCGACCAGTCCTTGTTTTAGCCCCTTAATGCCGAGCGCCAGACAGGGTAACAACAAGTACCATGTTTTAACGTCTTTCGGTATGACGCGGCCGGGGATCGAACCTCGGACCTTCCGCTCTCCGGGCGGACGCTCTACCACTAGACCACGGAGGCGGTGGAACAATCCTGATCGCGTATGTTAGATAAACTTATAAACGTAAACTTATCGCCTACATCCTGAGCTATCCACACAGTTCCTGGATCATAAACAGATGTTTAACATGCGTTATCATACATAATATCAACACACTGTGTTTCCTTCCCGTAAATATCATATATTAGGCACAAAAATGGTGTACTGCGAGTCTTTTCTCCTTGTGATATATCACCATGTCATTATGAGAATAACCAAAGGTATATCTTCATTCACTAAAGTAACTTTGTAACCCGCTTACGAATACAATTTCTGGCCAAAGCCTCCATTTAAATATAGTCTAGTGCGAACTTATTTGCGGCCATGTTTGTTTACGTAAGTCCTCCCACCATTCGTCACCACTCGTCCCTTTCCGTAACCGGCTTGTCCCGGAATAACACGAGTTGGTCACGAATGTCCTCCCACATCAAGAATGGGTGAGTGAGTATGGTTTTACGCCGCTTTTAGCAATATTCCAGCAATATCACGGCGGGGGGACACCAGAAATGCGCCTCACACATTGTACCCATGTCGGGAATCGAACACGGGTCTTCGGCGTGACGAGCGAACGCTTTAACCACTTGGCTACCCGACCGCCCACATTAAGAAACATTAATCTAAACGTTTTAGGAACGTAAAGCAATATTTGGCCAGCGAGTATGGAGCTCATCCAAATTAGTTTCTGGACCTCATTTGCATATATATAGGATCACGATATTGTGTGTATTTGGTTGGTTTTACGCAGCGACAACAATGTATGCTACGTAGTAAATATAGTTAGCGCGGGCAGAATGCGTTATTATTAAAATAACATTCATGCACAAATAAGTATGTTTATTATCAAGACACACATGCATGACAGAACAGAAATATAATTTTATTACAGGTTTTTAATATTTAGGACATACAGATGTTGTTTCTCTGTTCTTTCTGGGCTTCACCAGACACACCGTTTATGAAATATAAGCAAAATTGTTTCATATAAAAAAATAATGCCTTTTCAAAATCCTGATAACAATATCGGTTTGCACTGATGATTTGATAAGCATATTCATTACTTGTTTGTTCACCAAAGAATGACTAGATGATCACGTGATAATGGCTGCCCATAGACGCGTCAGTAGTGTGAACTGTGGTAGATCCGGATTCTGCGGCGGGCCAGACAGCTACAACTTTACCAGGTAGCAATATATCAATGTACTTTATAGTTTCGTCACAAACCGTGAACGTATACGTTCGTTTGCGGGTGTAGTTGCTAACCCACGGACCTGACCGTGGTCTGGTTCCAGCGAGTGCTTAGATTATATGGGCAATACTTCTCGTGCACCATTTGTCACAGCCTTGCAGCCCCTCGTCTGGAAACATGGGTAGTCTGACTGACATTGCACGTGTTATTCGTGTGTTAAGCATGGCACGTTTGGCTGGTGTCACTCGTCGTGTGGGGTTGCGATGGCATTGTCACATTAACGATACGACCCGTGAAGATTCCGGGTAGAATAGGTCCTCAGCAACCCATGCTGGCCGTAAAAGGTGACTATGCTTGTCGTAAAAGGCGACTAACGGGATCGGGTGGTCAGGCTCGCTGACTTGGTTGATGCATGTCATCGATCCCAATTGCGTGGATCGATGCTCATGATATCAATCACTTGATTGTCTGGTCCAGACTCGATTATTTACAGACCGCCGTCATATAGCTTGAATATTGCTGAGTGCGGCGTTAAACAGCAAACCAACCAACCAACCATTAACGATACACTATGAACTGCAACCATTAACGTGATCATGGTGATATTTGATTTAATTCAAATATCAGTTTCCTTATGTTTTAGTGTTGCCTATGATAATACACTAAGTGTAGGGTATTTTGTTTCGCGTTTTTTGTTGAAAAAAGTGAATGCATATTTGAATGAACGTATGATATAACTGCCAAGGAGCGAGCGTTTCTTCAAGCCAGTGATCCCCTCGTGGGATGGGAGTACCGTTCTCATGGGGAAAATGAAGCACGTTTGTTTAACCCGTTGGTAAGCATTTTTAACAATAGCCTGATGTGTGAAAAAAACCATTGTTTTCCCAGGAAACAGATACTCCTAATTAGTGGGTATATAACCATTTGTCGGTTTAAGCCCACTTGGCAGTTATCGACTTTAACCAGAAAGAAGAACACACAGTTTAGAAAGTGTTCAAATGTAACAAATATTATATTTGGGATAACACTTTTATAGTAAAGTAGGGCTGTCGGGTAGCCTAGTGGTTAAAGCGTTCGCTCGTCATGCCGAAGACCCGGGTTCGATTCCCGACATGGGCACAATGTGTGAAGCCCATTTCTGGTGTCCCCCGCCGTGATATTGCTGGAATATTGCTAAAAGCGGCGTAAAACCATACTCACTCACTCAATTATAGTAAAGTACAGATTGGGGTTGAGTCCCATCCTGGATTCGAACCCACACTACTAAGAAAGTGTTATCCCAAATATAACATTTGTTACAGAAGGAACACATCTCATCTGCGTTTGATATAATGGATTCCCCGACATGAGTACCTCGTGTGAAGCCCATTTCTGGTGCCCCCCCCCCCCCCCCCCCCCCACCGGAATATTGCTAAGAGCGGCGTAAAACCATCCTCACTCACTTTAATGGATAAACAGCTGTTGGGTTGGCAGAGATGGGTAAATTATTCAACGTCAGGTGCATGAATACGTTTGTGGCGGAGCGTTAAGGAAGTGTAATGTAAATTGTCAGCATATCATGCACTACCCGTCCCGCGAACTCCTGTTCGGACCTGTATTTTTGGCAACATAATTCAAGGTCATCAGCAGTAATATTGGGACTTTCTGGTTATGGTTATCGCCTTGTGAACAACCAATGGTTACATCGTCGGCCTTGGGAACTTCCTGTGCTTAGAACCATTGCCTTACGGGCATCCTCAGAATCGGCCTCTTCCGGAGACGCCGTGTTAACGTTCTTTCGTCAGACCAATTGTATGTGAACACGTTTTGGTCAAGCTCATTATCCTGGGAACATCCTCGGGCCAGATCCGTTGGCTTGGACATACCCTCTGTTCCGATTCATGACAAAGGTGAGGCACACCATTTGTTACCCGATATCATACACTGTAAAATATGAGTTTCGATAGAAAGCCCTACCCCGCTCTTTGTCCAAAAATTAAACCTCATTTCGAGAGGCCTAAACATATAGAATTGTGTTCAATCATTAAACGTAAGAACATGTGGCACATAACGTGTTCAGGATATGTAGATGTACCATTGAAATGTATGGTGGTTTTGCCACGAATTGTAGCTGATGTGGTAATCAGCATGGCTAGTCTCTGTAGTCATCCACTGTAGTTAAACATGGCTAGTGTGACTGGTGGCATCCATCATCCATCGTGATAAGAATGGCTAGTCTGACTGAAGTCATCCATCATGATAAGAATGGCTAATCTGACTGTAGTCATCCATCGTGACAAGAATGGCTAGTCTGACTAGAGTCATTAATCGTGTGTAAAGAATGGCTAGTCTGACTCCATCGTGTGTTAATAATGGCTAGTCTGACCCCATCGTGTGTTAAGAATGGCTAGTCTGACTGAAGTCATCCATCGTGTGATAAGAATGGCTAATCTGACTGAAGTCAACCATCGTGATAAGAATGGCTAATCTGACTGAAGTCATCAATCGTGATTAAGAATGGCTAATCTGACTGAAGTCATCCATTGTGATAAGAATGGCTAATCTGACTGAAGTCATCCATCATGATAAGAATGGCTAGTCTGACTGAAGTCATCCATCGTGTGATAAGAATGGCTAATCTGACTGTAGTCATCCATCGTGACAAGAATTGCTAGTCTGACTGTAGTCATCCATCGTGACAAGAATGGCTAATCTGACTGTAGTCATCCATCGTGACAAGAATGGCTAGTCTGACTGTAGTCATCCATCGTGACAAGAATGGCTAATCTGACTGAAGTCATCCATTGTGATAAGAATGGCTAATCTGACTGGAGTCATTAATCGTGTGTAAAGAATGGCTAGTCTGACTCCATCGTGTGTTAATAATGGCTAGTCTGACCCCATCGTGTGTTAAGAATGGCTAGTCTGACTCCATAGTGTGTTAAGAATGGTTACTCTGACTCGATCGTGTGTTAAGAATGGCTAGTCTGACTGGAGTCATTAATCGTGTGTAAAGAATGGCTAGTCTGACTCCATCGTGTGTTAAGAATGGCTAGTCTGACCAAATCGTGTGTTAAGAATGGCTAGTCTGACTCCATAATGTGTTAAGAATGGTTACTCTGACCCCATCGTGTGTTAAGAATGGCTAGTCTGACCCCATCGTGTGTTAAGAATGGCTAGTCTGACCCCATCGTGTGTTAAGAATGGCTAGTCTGACTCCATAGCGTGTTAAGAATGGTTACTCTGACCCCATCGTGTGTTAAGAATGGCTAGTCTCACCAAATCGTGTGTTAAGAATGGCTAGTCTGACTCCATAGTGTGTTAAGAATGGTTACTCTGACCCCATCGTGTGTTAAGAATGGCTAGTCTGACCCCATCGTGTGTTAAGAATGGCTAGTCTGACCCCATCGTGTGTTAAGAATGGCTAGTCTGACTCCATAGCGTGTTAAGAATGGTTACTCTGACCCCATCGTGTGTTAAGAATGGCTAGTCTGACTCCATAGTGTGTTAAGAATGGCTTGTCTGACTGCGTGATCCATCGTGTGTCAAACATGGCTAATGTGACTGATCGGATGTAAGAATACTGTTCGTCGATGCTTCATCTACTTGCAAAGCCTCACAGCCCTACTTTACTTAAAAACATGGGCATTAACTCAAATATGGTGACATTTCGTCACCGTCAACAACATCCGCTCATCTCTTGTTTCCACTTCTAGGGTCTCTCAAGGTCATGTAATCTCATCCTTTGAGATAATAACGTTTTATCTATTCCTATCGTGTGTTTAACAGAGCTAATCTTGTCAAAAGGAAAACAATTTGTGTAAAGAATAGTAAGTCTGACCTGGAAGAGTTTGTTGTGTCTTGAGATTTGCGTGCAGAATAATATGTTCGCTTGTCAGTTGAGTCCTCGCGAACTGTATTTTCGAGCCCTTAAGAAGAACTTCTAATTACTGGTCTTGTAACATTACCAATACACTAAAATTAGGTCTTAACTCTGAGAACATGTTTGTCTGTTAACACTTGGATGGCCAAGTGACCATATCTTTTAATTTGATAGTGGTAATGCCTCGGCGAGCGAGACGACTCGATCAGGCGCCATCTTGTTGCCGTCGCTTGATTTTGAGGTGAGGTGAGGTGAAATTGGGTTTAACGTCGCGTCCAAGATTATTGCACTTATATAGCGACGTGCATGCACGTGTGTGTGTGTGGCTGCTTGTACTACTCCGGACTGATGCCGATTTATAGTGCTAGCTCACTGAGATACCATGCCGCAGTTTAACATGAATACCCCACTCAGACACAGTATACTGACTCCGAGCCGACCAGTCCTTGTTTTAGCCCCTTAATGCCGAGCGCCAGACAGGGTAACAACAAGTACCCTCTTTTAACGTCTTTTGGTATAACGCGGCCGGGGATCGAACCCCGGTCCTTCCGCTCACCGGGCGGACGCCCTACCATTAGACCACGGAGGCGGTCCTTGATTTTGAGCCCCTCCATTACAGTGAAGTTACTAATAGAAGCACAACTTGATCAGTCACATGACAAATTATTAAACAATAGAAATACTCCGGAAAAAGACCCCGGATATTGAATAATTTTTCAGCTATGACGATGGCTTTAATGATGATGTAGTCGAAGATAGATCGTGTGATATCGAAATTGTAAACAAAGATATCAATTGTGAAGAAATTCTCACAGCTCTTAATAAATTGAAAAGAAATTAATTTTCTAGATTAGATTTATTTGAAAACGATATATTTAATTGGTGCTGCTGATGTATCGTGGTCCCACTACTGACAATAGTTTTCAAAGTAATACTGCATTCTAATTTGTCCCAGAATTCTGTATTAAAGGTATGATTAAACCGATATACACGAAGAAAGGTGACTACTTCGACCCAAATCACCATTTCGAACTGCTTTGGGAAACTATTTACCTGTGATCTACATACAAGCCTCACGAAAATCTAAGACATAAATGACATCCTCTCTGGCTCAAGCAGATTTTAGAAAGGGA